CAGCGTAGAATTCCTACAGTATGGAAGCGGGCCATTCAGCCCATCAAGTCTATCCCACCCAGACCAAATTTCCCCCTACCTATTGCTGAAACCCTACATTTCCCATGACTCATCCACACAGTCTGCGTAGCCCTGGACACTGGGGCAATTTAGCATGGCCAAACAACCCTAACCTGCACATCTTTGGACTGTGGGAGGAAACTGGAGCACCCAGAGGAAACCCACGTAGACCGTTGCCCAACGGTAGTATCGAACCTGGGTCGCGAGTGCTGAGGCAGCAGCACTAACTACTGTGCCGTCCAAAACAGAACAGACTCAGTTTAAAGATGCAAATTAATTGATTGCAAAGGGTTGATCAATTCCTGGAAGTCACGTTGATTAACTTTTTCTTCATTGGAATAACTGCAAACTTACTTCAGGTCTCCAGTTCTTTAGCTAAGTAAGCCCATCTGTTATTGTATAACCTTGTCTTTGTTACTGGCAGCATCTGAAGGAGAAATCAGAGTTAACGTTTTGGGTCTGGTGACCCACAGTTCTGAGGAAGGGTCACCGGACCCAAAACGTTAACTCTGTTTTCTCCTTCACAGATGCTGCCAGACCTGCTGAGCTTTTCCAGCAACTTTTGTTTTTGTTCCTGATTTACAGCATCTGCAGTTCTTTTCGGTTTTTATTTTGTCTTTGTCACTGTTGGACACTAAATCATTAATTGGTCAACAGTGTCCAACAGTGACAAAGACAAAATAAAAACCGTAAAGAACTGCCGATGCTGTAAATCAGGAGCAAACAGAAGTTGCTGGAAAAGCTCAGCAGGTCTGGCGGCATCTGAAGGAAAAAACAGTTAACATTTCAGGTCCGGTGACCCTTCCTCAGAACCTGCTTGGCTTTTCCAGCAGCAATGATTTAAACAAGTTTGGAATTTATCAAAACCTCTTTTTTTTTTGTATTTTTTTACTCCAGCTTCTTTTAGGTTGGAAGTTTGAAGTAAGGGTTAGTAGGGGTGGTTTCAGTTGTTGATTCAGAGAGAACTTCAGTTCTGGGACAAACAGGAGTTAAGCATAGGATGTACTGATTAACCTCCAGCAAGTTAATCTATTGTCCCTTCTTTATTGAGCTGTAGAGTCAGATCCATACAGCACGGAAATGGACCCTCTGGTCCAACCAGCCCAAGCTGCCCATAATCCCAAACCAAACTAGTCCCACCCACCTGCCTGCTCCTGGCTCATATCCCTCCAGACCTTTCTTATTCGTGTACCTTTTCAAATGTCTTTTAAACACTAATTGTGTCCACATCCACCACTTTCTCGGGTATTTCATTCCACATATGAAAGACCCTCAGGCTTTTCTTTTAAGAAAACGAAACCTCTGTCTCTGTCTCTGTCTCTATCTTCCCCCCGCGTCCCCTTAAAATTGTGTCCCCTAGTATTGAAATCCTCCATCCTAGGGAAAAGACAATTACCATTAACTCTATCTATACCTTTCATTATTTTATAAACCTCTGTGTAAGGTTGCTTCTCGACCTCCTACTCTCCAGTGGGGGTGGGGGTGGGGGGGGAGGGGGGTGGAGGGAGGAGTCCCAGTCTGTATAGGATGGGCTGAAGGGCTAAACTTGATGATGATAGTCAACAGCTGCATGACTTTGGTTTGAATCCTATGAACATTCCTGGCACATATCATTGCTTTTTCTGTGCCTGGCTGCTTCTTACACTGTGTATAAGAGTTTTTTGTTCCAAGTCACTGGACTTCACCTCAGACTGGAATCGCGAACAGTGCCAGGAACAACCTCGGTCTCCAGACCAGCCGTCAATTGAGGGGTCCCTGATGGGCAGAAAGGCGTGAGGTGCATTGTTTATTTTCCTCTTTGTAAATAAAAAGAATGAGGGTTAAAAATGTTTGGTTTTTTTCTCTGTCTTTTTTTTATTATTCAATGAATGTTGGTATTTAAGCAAATTACTGTTGTTGAGCCTTCTCTTACCTACATTTAACCAAATCTGAAAAGAACCAAGTGGATACTCTGTGATCCAAGACATCGTTTTTGGCAATGATGAGGATGTGAGTCAGGAAAATGTGAGAAGGGGAAAAATGACTTGATCCTCCCATGTACAATTGGCAACATTTACCTATTTCATTATGAAAACCAATTCAACAGGATGCACAATGTCAGTTTCCTGAAAGTGGGGTAAAATTTAAAGTTGCTCTCGACCCTCTTGATTGTATCAGCTTTCCCAATGGAGCTATTTTGTATTAGTTTAAACTGCCACAAATCCTGTTAGAACCCTCATTGACCTCATTATTTTTATTCATGTTTGGAGCTGGGACTTGGAACTGACAGTGACTTGTGGAATTTGGGAAACAGCTTGTGCTAAAAGGGAAATTAATATACCAAACAAGCCTCCAGGCTTGGAGGCTAATTACAGGCTAATCCTTGAATAAAAGGATTTCTGCAGACCCCCAAAAAGAGAATGGTGTTCAAACAGATAGCAGAAGTTAGCCATTGAGGTCAATAGTTAGGAATTGGTTCTGGCAAGTCTGGAAAAGACCCTATGTTCAAGAAGGTGTCAGATGTTTGATGGCAGTAGAGGTGTCAGGAAAAGACAGTCAGTCTCAGGGCAGAATCATTTTTCTTTTTGGAACTGTTTCCTGGCTAGATGTGGTTGGCTACAGATGCTACAGTTGGAAAGCTCCCTGCCAAACCTCACCAGCTTTCAGAAGACTAAAGAGTAGGGAGCAGAGTTCAGCCTTGACCTGAGTGAGCTGAAATGGTAATCCTGATCAGCAGCTCCAGAAAAGCAATCTAGGAACCCATCTCTGTGCCTGTGAAACTATTCATAATGAAAACCACTTAAATAATCTGACCAGCTTAGCCGTTTTGTTTTATCCCTGTATTTGCTTGCATATCTGTCCGTCTGGTGTAAATGGGTTTTAAACAATAGTTTTGAGTTTAAAGCATAGACGTGGAGTCATAGAGACATACAGCACAGAAGCCAAACCTTCACTCCAACTCTTCCAGCCTGACCACATATCCGAAACTGAACTAGTCCCACTTGGCCCATATCCCTCTTAAACCCTTCCTATTCGTATACCCATCCAGATGCCTTTTAAACGTTGTAATTGTATCAGCCCCCACCATTTTCTCTGGCAGCTCATTCCATACATGCACCACCCTCTGTGGGGGGGAAAAAAGTTGCCCCTTAGGTCCTTTTTTAAATCTCTTCCCTTCTTGCCTTAAACCTATGCCCCTCTAGTTTTGGACTCGCTTACCCTGGGGAAAAGACCTTGGCTATTCACCCTGTCCATTGCCCCTCATGCTTTTATTAACCTTTATAAAGTCACCCCTCAGCCTCTGATGCTCCAGGGAAAATAGCCCCAGCCTATTCAACCTCTCCCTATCGCTCAAACCCTCCAACCCTGGCAACATCCTTGTAAAACTTTTCTCAACGCTTTCTCCTATAGCAACATCCATCCTATAGCAGGGAGACTAGAATTGCACACAATATTCCAAAAGTGGCCTAACCAATATCCTGTACAGCCATAACATGACCAAACACCACCTTCACTACCCTATTTACCTATGACTCCACTTTCAAGGAACTATGAACCTGCACCCCAAGGTCTCTTTGTTCAGCAACATTCCCCAGGACCTCACCACTGTGTATAAGTCCTGCCCTGATCTGTCTTTCCAAAATGCAGCACTTCACAATTACTATGGTATTTCACTTTTTCCCCTGCTCAAGTTATTGAATATTTAATAAATTGTTGAGTTGTTTGTTTGAGATGCCAAACCGATGTCTGGAATTAATTATTTACAAAATATGGGACTGGTCATTCCAAAGTTTGGTTAGGAATAATTGGAGTAACTTGTGGGGATCTTTGGCAGTTTTTGTTTCACTGTGCTCTCAATACAGAGGTAGAAGGGCTGATTTAACTCTGGTATAATCTCGGTCAGAACAATACACCTTAACACCCAAGCCAATTGGAATTGTGTTCCCAAGCACAGTCATATCGGGCAAAAATGGGAAAGAATGCTCACAAATCCAACTATGTTGTACACAGGGATTTGTATGTTTAATTTTTCATGTTATTTACTGTGATTGAGTTAGTAACCTCCTGGGTGGATGAAGTTAATCATTAATTTGTAAGCATTTAAGTATCCATGGTGATTTCTTTTAAAGCAGTTTTTCAAGCCCAGCTTTAAAATGAATGGGTTTTTGTGCACTCATAATGGACTTCGGCTTATCTTATAAATTTGGTGACTCAGCAAGCTATTTAATTAGGGGAGGCAATGGCCTAGTGGTATGGACTATTAATCCAGGGACCCAGGTAATGTTCTGCTAGACCCAGGTTCGAATCCCACCACGGCAGATGGTGGAATTTGAATTCAATAAATATCTGGAATTAAGATTCTAATGGTGACCATGAATCCATTGTCAATTATCAGGAAAAACCCATCTGGTTCACTAATGTCCTTTTAGGGAAAGAAACTGCCATCTTTACCTGGTCTGGACTACATGTGACTCCAGGCCCACAGCAATGTGGTTGACACTCTGAACTGCCCTGTGAGCAATTAGGGATGGGCAATAAATGCAGCCTAGCCAGCAACACCCACATCCCGTTAATGAATAAAGAAAAAAAAAATAAGGGGTCACTGTCTCGGGATGGGCTATTTCAGACTGAGCTGAGGAGAAATGTCCTCCCTCAGAGGGTGACGGCAGTGAACCCATGGATCCCACTAGCACAGAGAGCTGTGGAGGCCGAATCCCTGAATATCTTCAAGAAAGAGATGGATTTCTGGTATCGAGGGGTGTGGGGAGAGCCAGTGTTAAGAGGATTGGCCGCGACCATGTAGAATGGTGGAGTGGGTCTGATGGACCGAATGGCATACTCCCTGCTCCTATTTGCTATCTGTCTGCTCCCCCCACCCCATGACCTTTGACTTCCACAGATAGGCTAAAACAAATGCAATGGACTCGGAAAATCATTGAACATTCACGACAAGACACAACTACCGTTGAGTATCAAAATATATTAAGATTTCCAACATTTAAATATTTGCAACCCTGGCCACACAGAGTACAAATGTCAGTTTACAGTCCTCCTATTAGATTGTTGTGCATCGGTTCCACCATAAAGGTACTTCAATTCTGCCTTTTAAGGAACATCCTCTATCTCTGGCAGATGGCCCTGCAGAGTGTGTGTGTTCCTCCACGGTGATGCCCATCTCCTGTGCCCAGAAACCAGGCCGTTACTTGTCAGAGGGTTGGACGCAGATTAAAAGCAATGCCGCTCCCTTATCCGTTTCGAACCAGCTCCAGTTGTGGCTTCCAATTAATTACTTTTCTGGGACGGTACAGAACACCAGCCAAAAACAGAGACGAGAAGTCAAAGTTTTCTGTCTTACACTCATGAGGACTGAGACATGAGAGAGGGGGAGAAAAAGACTTCACAAGGAAACAAGGTCTCTTGCAGCTTGGGAAGAGGATCCTGATCCGTTGAAATATGGCTTGACAAGGAAACGTGGCAGAAACTAACTGTTTTAGGACTGAGATGAGGAGAAATGTCTTCACCCAGATGGTAGGTGAGCCTGTGGAATTCTGTGCTACAGAAGACTGAAGGTATGACTTCAAGAAGGAGTTGGATGTAGAACTTGGGGCTAAAGGGTGTGGGGGAGAAAGCAGGGAAAGGGGACTGAGTTGGATGATCAGCTGTGATCATATTGAATGGTGGAGCAGGCTCAAGGGGCCGAATGGCCTATCTCTTTAGTGTTAACTGTGTCTCGATTGCTGGTAAAGTCTGGATGATCAATCTTAGATTCTTTAACACCCAAGGACTGTGATATGGCTGTTCGCTAAACGTCGTTAAATATATTTGTTGTGGTGAAATGAGCTGGGGGAAGCAGGCACTGATTCAAACCCCTCTCCCCACCCTCGCCTGGCGATATTCTGAAACCAGGCATGTCACCGCTAAAGCTGTTATTTTGTTTTCTTGCTTTCTTCCTGAAGAACATAAGACAAACAGCTTCAACCCACCAGCAATGTGTAATGTAATTTTAAGAAAGGATTGTGAAGGATAGGGGCGTTCGGTATAACTTCAACTCCCCCTCTCATGCGGGTGACACTTTGGTTCTCTGAAAGACTGGCAGATGTGGATAGATATTTTGAGGGGGAGGAAACGACTTGCAGGGACCAAGATCCAGGGAGGCCGGTGAGATTGCGAGCATAGCTCTAGCAAAGAGCTGGCACATGTATGAGGGAATGAATGGCCTCCTTCTCGCTTCCTGTGGGCACTGATGCCCACAGCAGCAAACCCAGGGAGCCCAGTGTGACGTACCCGGAGAGAGAAGGCTGTGTCAGGCACACACATACTCGTGCACAATTATACGCGTGCTCACAGACACGCACGCGCATGCACACACATACGCTCGCACAATTATACACGTGCTCACAGGCACACGCACGTGCTCAAACACGCACACACACACGTGCACATGCATGCACACACATACTCGTGCACAATTACACTTGTGCTCACAGACACATACAGACATACACATGCTCTCACACACACAGACACATCTCCATATCTCCTGAAGTCACTGGTCCTGCCATGGTCAAACTGGGCATTTCTCCACTGGAGCCCACCAACACCTGCCCCACTTTCACATGCCAGCAAGAGGTGCCAGCACACAGAAGGGGCAACTGTCTAAGACATGGTGCCCAATGCCACCAGCTCAGCATTTTGCCACATGGTCCAGAGCGAGTCGGGAAGGGGAGTTTCAATTGGGAAAGCTGGGTGGACAGGTGGACCCTAACCCTAACCCCATCACAGGAGAATGCGTGTGGGATAGGGGTGGGGAGGTGACAGGGAGAACTGGAGCCTTCACCAGTCAATAAGAATCCTTTTATTTCCCTGGGCCCAACCTTGTCTCTGAAAGGGTCTCAGAACAAACTATTTCTTCACCTCAAGGTGGGGGTTGGGGTGGGGTTGAGCGGATCTTCCCTACGCTTTACCCCCACCGCCGACACTCCCATCCACCCCGGGTCATCCAGCAGTCCTTGCCGGTACCAAGCCTGTCACCCATCCACTGTTCTACTATCCTGCCATTAGAGGGCAGCAGCTGGCTGGAGATTCTGGTGGAGCCCAGCGCACAGTCCAATCCCACACTGAGCCGTCACCTCAGCGACTCCCAATCACCACTGGTATGTAGTCATTCACGGCCTGCCTGTGGAGACAGAGACAGAGAGAACAAGTGGTGAGATTTGATTGATTGTTGTCCCATGTACCGAGGTACAGTGAAAGGTTTTGTTTTGCGAGCAGTACAGGCAGACCAGACCATACACGGTGCATTAGGGTAATAGAGCAGGGCGAGGAACACAATGTTACAGGGAAGGTGCACAGAGAGTGAGAACAATATTAACCAGAGAGATCCATTCAGAAGCCTAATAACAGTGGGGAAGAGGCTGTTCTTCAACCTGTTGGTGTGTGTGTTTAAGCTTTTGTATCTACTGCCTGATGGAAGAGGTTGGAAGGGATTATAACCGGGGTGGGAGGGGTCTTTGATGATGTTGGCTGCCTTCCTGAGGCAGTGGGAAGTGTAGATGGAGTCAGTGGGTGGGTGGGTTGGTTTGTGTGATGGACTGGGCTGTGTTCACAATTCCCTGTAGTTTCTTACAGCCCTGGGCAGAGCAGTTGCTGTACCAGGCCGTGATGCATCCAGATAGAATGCTTTCTGTGGTGCATCTGTAAAAGGTGGTAAGAGTCCTTAAGGACATGCTGAATTTCCTTAGCCTCCTGAGGAGGTAGAGGCGATGTTGTGCTTTCTTGACCATCGCATCAATGTGGGTGCAACCAGGACAGATTGTTGGTGATCGTCGCTTGGGAGGCAAGCAACAGCTTTATCGGACAAAACTACGAGGGGTCCAGGCAGAGCAGAGCAGAGAGAAACTCTTCCCATTGACTGAATCCAGGCAATTGGTGAGATAAGCAATGGAGGTGGGAGGAAAATCTTTCTTTTCTAAAGCCCAGCTAATAGTGAGGACCTGCCCACAGCCTGTGGGGTTGGAAGATAGATTCGATCTGAACCAGGGAAACGGGAGGCTGGGCCTGGGTAGTCTACCTTAGCAGGGGGCCAGTGCGGGCACAATGGCCTCTTTTTCGTGCTGTGACCATTCTGCAAAGCGTCTGCCCTGCATTATTGCAGCAACTCGAGAGGAGGAATCCAGCAGATCTAGACACAGAGCCACGTGGAGGAATGCACAAGGCAGGAGTATGATGGAATACCCCCCTCTTGTTCCTCGATGGGGGCAGCTCGAACAACACTCAAGAAGCTCGACACCATCCAGGATCCTGCTCATTTGGCACCACTTCAAGGGGATGTGAAGCCAGTTTGGATGGAAATAAGTCCTACCTCTTTCCCTCGCTATTCCTTGTCTATAGATCCTCAAGAGTTACCTCACTCTGGGACAAAGTAGAAATTGGGAAATAGTGGAGGGGCACAAGAAGGCTCATGGATGATTTCAATCTGCAAATTGACTGGAAAAATCAGATGGGCAAAGGGTCATATGCAAGAGGAATGAGTGGAATACATCACGAATAGTGTGTTAAGATTAGTAGACTGCAAACCCAGCCAGGGAACAGGCTGTTGTAGATCCAATCAATCTGTTGTAGACCTTCTATATCCTTAGCCACTTCCATCCAGAAGGACAAGGGGCAGCAGATACATGGGAACACCAGCCCCCTGCAAGTTCCCCTCTGAGCCCCTCCCCATCCTGACTTGGAAATATATCGCCGTTCCTTCAGCGTCGCTGGGTCAGAATCCTGGAATTCCCTCCCTAAGGGACATTGTGGGTCAACCCACAGCACATGGACTGCAGCGGTTCAAGAAGGCAGCTCACCCCGACCTTCTCAAGGGGGGCAACTACGGACGGGGCAGTAAATGATGGCCAAACCTGTGAATGGGTGAAACAAACAGCCAGTACAAGCTACGGGGTGGGATGGTGTACCTGTTGGTGAGCTGACACCCGCCGACTAACGTAGAGCCATCACGGGCCACAAACAGCTGTAATCCGCTCTCTGGATGGGAACACAAAAACAGACAGTAGTTAAAGGTACACATAACAGTGTGGATGCTGTATTCATCACCCTGGCTAATACCCAGCAGGGTACACAGCTCCATGTTATACTGTCGTCCCTGTAACTGAGACCAATCCACGTCAACCCAGACCCTGTCACTGAGACCCTCTCCCCTTTGCCGAGACCCCCTCCCCATCGCCAAAACCCCCCCATCCCAATCACCGAGATCCCCTCCCCATCGCCGATAACCACTCTCCTTATTGCTAATACCCTCTCCCGTCACCGAGACCTCTCCCTGTCACCGAGATCCCCCCCTCCCCATCATGGAGACTCCCCTCTCAGTCATCGAGACCACCTTCCCGTCGCCAAGACGCCCTTCCCATTGCCGAGACCCCCTCCCCGTCGCCAAGACCCCATCCCCATCACCATCACCGAAATCCCCCTTCCTCATCGCCAAGAAACCCTCGTCGAGATCCTCACCCCATAACTGAGACTATCTCTCCATCCCCGAGCCCCTCTGCCCCCAACACCAGGGGGACCCTATCACTGTTGAAGTCAGTGGGTGAGGGCGGAGATGTGGAAGATGCGTCAGACCCGGCTGAGGGCCCTGTCAATAACAGAGCTGGGGAATCCTCGGTTGTGGGGGAAGCTGGATGTTTTGGAGGGGGTTGAGGGGCAAGATGGACATTTTGGAGGGGGGGGAGGGGGTTGAGGGGGAAGGTGGACATTTCGGAGGCTCTCTTGTCGAAGTTGGCCTCCTCTGAACAGATGCAACGGAGATGGAGGAACAGGGAGAATGGAGTGGAGTCTTTACAGGAAGGAGGGTGCGACGAGCTACAGTGCAGGTAGCTGTGGGAGTCAGTGGGTTTTTAACACAAACTGGGCGATCACTTTGCAGAGCTCCTCCATTCTGTCAACCACAATAGACCCTGAGCTTCCTGTTCCCTGCCACTTTAACACACCACCCTGCTCCCTGGCCAACATCTCTGTCTCTGACTTGCTGCTGTGTTCCAGCGAAGCTCAGTGCAAGCTGGAAGGACAACACCTTATTTCCCGCTTGGGGACCCTACAGCCCTCTGGACTCACTATCGAATTCAATAACTTTGGAGCCTGATCCCATCCTTCCCTGTTTTTTACCGAGCCCCACACTGGTTGATATGGAGTTGCTTTTAGCAAAGCACCGATTCTCACATTCTCCTCAGCTAGTTATCATGGCATATGTACTGCAATCGTTACAGTTAACCCAACCTCTCCCACTCTCGGCTCTCATTGTCACTTATTCAGCTTCTCTTCTGTCCTGTCTTAACATCAATAATCCTCTTGTCTGCCTACCCCTCTCATCCCCCTCTCTGTCTCTCTGTCTCTCCCTCTCTATCTATCTATCTATCTCTCTCTCTGGGCTCCATCTCCACATATCTGCTCACCCCTGCCCCCAAGAACACCGCCCCCTCCTTCCTAAACCCCACCTTCAGTTAAAGACCACTTTTCCCCAGCTGCTACCAATTCCTAATGAAGATCCACTGGACCATAAACATTAACTCTGCAAACGTTGCATTTGCCTTCCCTATCACCCACTGAAGTTGGATGCTGGCTTTCTGAGATTCACACACGAGGACTCCCAAATCCCTCTGCTTTCTGCATTCTTTCTCCATTTAAATAATATTCAGCTCTTCTATTCTTGCTGCCAAGCCTCACATTTCCCAACATTTATTTTTCATCTGCCAAGTTTTGCTCACATGCTTAACCTGTCAACAACAATCTACACACTCTGGGTCATCCTCACCACTTATCCTCCCACTTATTTTTATGCCATTCACAAACCTGGTGGTGGTCGATTCTGTTTCCTTGTCCAAGCCCCTCAGGGTGGAGCACAGAGGGTGGAGGAGAGGTTTGATTGAGCTGGGCAGGGTATTGATAGGTTTAGGTGAGGGAAGGGAAAGGAAGCTGGTCCCATTGGCTGGTGGTACAACAGGGATACAGGTTTCAGGTTTGGGGGTAAGAGATGTGACGTCAGGCGAGGGGTAGAAAGACCATGTTGATGCAGCGTGTGGGAAACTCACTGTTCACGGGAAAGGAGGGTGAACAATTTCAATCAGAGATTGATGGGAATAAACTGGAGGGTACACTGAGTAGGGGAGGGTGATAGGTATGACAGGATCCCTCCCAAGAGGGCTAGTATGAGCTCAATGGGCTGAAGAGTCTTCTTCTGAGCCGTGATGGCTCTATCTTAATCCCCCTCCAGAGGAGGTGTTGCCCAAGGACTCCTGAGCTGTAGAATGTTCCCACATGGAGTTCCAATGTCTGCCAGAGTTTCCCTACCTTCGGAATCACTGCAGTCGGTAAAGTCCTGAGTCTGGATAATACTCTCCACAATGTCATCGGCATTGACCCTGGTGTCATTGACCCATGATGGATAGTTCTCAGGAGCCTGATTCCTCCGCCTGTAACCACACAGTCGCAGAATTATTACAGCGCAGGAGGCCATTCAGCCCATTGTTCCGGAACTGGTTCTATCCCCCAGTGCCCAATCTCCCACATTTCCCCACTATCCCTGCGCCCCCCCCCCCCCCCCCCACCCCGATCTATCCAAAATCCCCATCCAATGCCCCTCTGGAATGCCTCAGTTGAACCTGCCCACCCCCCCAGGCAGTACATCCCACACCCTCACTACCCACTGGGTGAGAGAGTCTCTCCTCACTTCACCCTCGCTTCGTTTGTACATCACTTTAAATCTGTATCCCTCTCGATCCTGTTCCTTTTCTGAGCAGGAACAGCTTCTCCCTCCCTCCTCTGTCCAGCCCCCTGCTCGGGAATTGGAAAGCCTCTATCAGATCTCCCTCTCAGCCTCCTTCTGTCCGAGGGGAACAGTCCCATCTTCCCCAATCTATCCTCATCGCTGACATTAACCATCCCTGGAACCGTTGCTGTAAATCGCTTCTGCACTCTCTCACTCTCTCACTCTCTCAATCTCTCAATCTCTCTCTCTCACACACACACACACACACACACAGACACACACACAGTCACACACACTGACACTGTCACAGACACACACACAGTCACACACACTGACACTGTCACACACACACACAGTCTCACACACACTCAGACACACACACATACACACACTCAGACACACACACACAGTCACACACAAACACAGTCACACACAAACACTGTCTCTCACTCACACACACACACTCACACACACACACAGTCACACACACACACTGTCTCACACACAGTCACACACTCGCACACTGTCACACACACACTCACACACAGTCACACACACACTCACACTGTCACACACACACAGTCACACACATTGACACTGTCACACACACACACAATCTCACACACACTCAGACACACACACACAGTCTCACACACACTCAGACACACACACACAGTCACACACACACTGTCTCTCACTCACACACACACAGTCACACACACACACTGTCTCACACACACACTGTCACACACACTGTCACACACTCGCACACTGTCACACACTCGCACACTGTCACACACACACTCACACTGTCACACACACACAGTCACACACTCGCACACTGTCACACACACTGTCACACACACACACTGTCACACACACACACACTGTCACACACACACACACACTGTCACACACACACAGTCACACACACACACACACACACACATTCACACACACACACACAAACTCTCACACAGACACACACACACACACAAACTCTCACACACAGAGACAGACACACAAACATACACACACACTCACACCCCCTAACCCGGGAGCGCCCCTCTTACCTGCTGTGTCGCTCGGATGGCCAGATGGGGAGAGGGGGCTTCTCGAAGCTCAGGTCCCTTGCTACACCCTCGATGTCGGCCGCGCTGCTGGGCCCCGAGGAGAAGCCACTACTGACGGACGACAGTTTGCGCCTCCTGGTGGGCTCCGAGAGGCTGACACCCTGGGAGTGCTCCATGCTGTAACCTGGGGGTGGGGAGTGGGGAGTGGGGGGTGGAGAGTTGGGGGGTGTGGGGGGCGTAGGAAATGGGCACCATATTCATGTGAAACGGCACAGTACAGTTCACCCACCCTCACACCGCAGCCATTCGGCCCATCAAATACTGCACCCGCCCAACCAACCAACCAAACAAACAACCAACCAACCAACCAACCTTGCCTTCCATCCCTTTACCCTCCCACCACCTCCTCCTTCTGCCAATGGGACTGGGCATCGCTGACATCTTGCTGCCCCTTCCCTCACTGCCCTCCATCTGTGGTGGGCTCCATGCCACCGACAGCAGGCTGTGAAGAGACGGCCCCACTGCTGTGGGTCCTGCGTAGGCCAGGCCGGGTTACCAGGGCAGATATCCCTCCCTCAAGGGCAGTACTGTCCATGATACGAGTTTGTAACTGATGGTCACCAATCGCTCAGCCCAGTCCTAACTCACCGAGTTCAAACTTCACCAGCTTCACACAGTGGGGCCCGAGCCTGGGACCCCAAGAGTTAGTGTAGAGCCTAGGTCCAGCGACAATCCCACCAGACCGCTGCTCCCCCCATCCATCTAGCTTCCTCCTCAATAATTCTCAGTTGTAGGGATCCTACGGGAGCTCATTTCCCTCCAGGTGAAGAGTGAATGAAGACAGTGAGGAGACTGGGCCTCTAGTGGAAGGAAGTCCAATTGGACCATGGAGAGCTGGACGAGGAGACAGGGAGGCTATTACCTGCTGAGGCGTGGAGCAGGAACCGTGGGGACCCAGTCCCAGAATAAGATCGTTTTGGAGTCAGATGGGAAAGGGCCCATTCACTCGGAGGGCAAGAGACGCGATCAGGGTGCAGGAGCTGGCCATTCTGCCCCTCCGACCTGCTCCCATCACTCTCTGAGGAAGACAGCCCCAAAGGCATGCAAAAGAAAACATTTCCTCCTCCTCTCGGTTTTCCAGCGAGAGCTGAATCCTTGGAATTCTTCGTGCGTTTGGCAGCGGGGGGGGGGGGCGGAGAAGCTCAGTCACTGACACCCAGGACAGCGATGGATCGATGCGGAAAGCTCGGAGGGGAAAGGGGATATTCCGGGAGAAATGGTGTCGATGTGAAAGGCGAGCGGACACTGATTGACGGGTCGACTGGCCTCCTGCGCCCCTTTTCCTCCCGAATTGTTCCCCACTCTCACACACGTCTCCTTTTTTGGGATGGGGGGAGGGTGTTACAAGGCCAACTTTGGGAATCTTCCTCATTGTCCTCACACCTCCCAACAACAACTTGAAGTTAGGCGGCACCTAATGGGACACCGCCGAGGTCACCGAAGGCCGAGTTGGTCAAACAGGCCGGGGTCAAAGGGCGTAGGAAAGGCGCAGGTTGTAAAGCTACTGAGCCCCATTGAGAATGGCTCCAGGCTCTCCTGGTTACCCTTCTTCCCCCTCCCCCTCGGATCCTCCCCCAGCCCGAATTGCCGGTGTTTTCCGCTGCTAACGGTAGCCGTTCCTGAGATTCACTCACCGGAAGCCTTGGAGTGCTGACTGTTGATGCTGGAGGGTGAGCTGAGAGGCTGGCACACACTGGCAGAGCTGTCTGGGGTGCTGATCGCGCTGTCTGCCTCCTCGCCAACACCTACCGGACCAGAGGGAAGGACAACGTGAGGAGGGATGGTGGGGTGGTGGTCAGAACCCGACACGGGAGCTCCAGGCAGCTCCCGGCTCCCCGGCCGACCGAACAGGCCCACTCCCCAAACCGCAAACCCACTCGCCCTCCAACCCCCGGCAACATTTCCAAACACCTCACCCGCAGGTAAATCTGTCCAAGTGCATGGTGTAAGGGATCTTTCAGAGCGAGGTGAGGAGGTTGTTGTGGTCCCGGCTGGTGGGATGCCCCAGAGGGGCAGGAAAGCCAACGTTTCAGGCCAGGACCCTTCACTAGGACTCCTGACCTGCCTTCCCTGCCGTGTTCCTCCAGCTCCACACTGTGCGTTATCTCTGACTCCAGCATGTGCAGTCTATCTCTGGGATCCCTGGTTAAGTCAGATCCCGGGCTAAAATCCCACAAAGAACTATTTAAAAAAACTGGCTTTGATGGATCATAATTCACTTCGTTGTAAATGAAGGAGGTGATCTCTCACTGGAACATGAGCGGACAACACCAGGCTCTTATGGCGCGGTGGTAGCGTCCCTACCTGTGAGGCAGGAGGCCCAGATTCATGTCCCACCTGCCCCAGAGGTGAGCAATAACGTCTCTGAACAGGTTGATTGGAAGATAAAATGAACACAGTGCTGTGAAGGACAGAGATCACACAACACCAGGTTGTAAACCAACAGGTTTATTTGAAATCACAAGCTTTCAGAGCCTCGCTCCTTTCACATGACGCAGGGGCTACGCTCCAAAAGCTTCTGTTTTCAAATAAACCTGTTGGTCTATAATCTGGTGTCGTGAGACCTCTGACCTTGTCCACCCCAGTCCAACACCAGCATCTACACCATAATGCTGTAGGGTCACTCTGGATTTAAAATGTTCACAGTATTTCTTTCTTTCTCTCTCTCTGCAGAGTTCATAGAATCATAAAATCCCGACAGTGAGGAAACAGGCCATTCAGTCCAACGTGTCCACACCAACCCTCAGAGCATCCCACCCAGACCCATCCCCTTATAACCCACCTAATCTACCCATCCCTGGGCACTCTGTGTAATTTAGCACAGCCAATCCACCCTAACCTGCACATCCCTGGGCACTACGGGACAATTTAGCACGGCCAATCCACCCTAACCCGCACATCCCTGGGCGCTACGGGACAATTTAGCACGGCCAATCCACCCTAACCTGCACATCCCTGGACACTATGGGACAATTTCCCACGGCCAACCCACCCTAACCTGCACATCCCTGGGCACTATGGGACAATTTCCCATGGCCAACCCACCCTAACCTGCACATCCCTGGGCACTACGGGACAATTTAGCATGGCCAATCCACCCTAACCTGCATACCTTTGGACTGTGGGAGGAAACCGGAGCACCCGGAGGAAACCCACACAGACACGGGGAGAATGTGCAAACTCCACACAGACAGTTGCCCGAGTCTGGAATTGAACCCGGGTCACTGGTGCTGTGAGGCAGCAGGGCTAACCACCGAGTCACCCCTAAAGTTTTCCTGGTGTTGTCCAGGTTTTATTTTGTCGTTTCCGACCACTGCAGGATGTTGGCTCTTATTATCAGCACAGATGGCTTCTCATCTATTAATACCCTCCCTTGACATCCCAATTGATCCCCACCCAGTCCCCATCTGGGGGAGGTGGAGTGGCAGTGTCTGACCCACTGTCTCACCCAGCCCTGGTGGGGAGCCTGCAACACACACTCACACACACACACACACACTCACACTCACACACGCACACACTCACACACGCACACACTCACACACGCACACACACACTCACACTCACACACTCACACACACACTCACTCTCACACACACACACACACTCACACACACACACACACTCACACACACACTCACACTCACACACGCACACACACACTCACACTCACACACTCACACACACACTCACTCTCTCACACACACACACACACTCACACACGCACTCACACACACACACGCACTCACACACGCACTCACAC